TCTCTTCACATTAAAAAAAAAAAGATAAAATCAGGTCACTTAAGACAGAGAGAAGAAAGAATGAGACAAAAACAGAGCTCAGAAGTCACCACTAAGGGAACATCGTGTACATATAAGAGTAATGCAAAGGGAAAAGTGAAATTCCTGCAAACTCCAGTTCCTGCATGAATTCACTCTGTTGCTATGAGAATGATTGGGTTTTTTTTCCAGCCTTTCTTTCCCCACCTACAAAACGGGGACAGCACTTACATAACCACTTTGCAAAGTGCATAGGAGGATTAGCTGGCTGTCATCTGTCATATGAGCAGACCTATGAAAGTGCGAAGGAGTATTTTTAATAAATACCTCATTACCTCATTATATTTTTGACTTCAATTCTTCCCAGGAAAGTCAACTGCATTTTTTTTTTTTTCTGCCATCCTCCAAAAAAATTTGCAGACCCCTTAACCATCTCACCCTTGATGAGCCATCTTTACCTAAAATGACTTGCACAGAACATGATGTGCTTCTCTTGGTCAGTCACGTATGTAAGTCACAGTGAGCAGCACATTAAACAATAACAGATTGATTTGTTTTTAATAATCTGACCTTGCTTCATCTGGACAGGCAATGGTGTTTTACATCCTGTCATGCTGCAAACATGACAGGCTATGGATCCTTGTTATGCTGCTGTGAATATTGAGTGATTCCAGTGAAGGATTCAGAATTCCACCACAGAAACAAAAATCAAAATAACTGTAAATAATGTGGGGTATTTAAATAACTTGGAAGTGGCTGCAGCCTTACTCTTCAGGCTTTAACCTGCACAAGCCTGTGAGATTTTGTGCTCTTTTCAGCTAAGGACTGGGGCAAATTTATTTTCCATCATACCCAAAGCCTATTTCATTTGTTCTAATCAAGCTGACCTGGATTCACTTGGCTTCCTTCAAGCAAAATTCACTGTACTTCTCAAGAAAAAGAAAAAAATACAGCCCTCACAATATCTGCCAGATGTAGTGACCCTCAGCTAAAAAAATATCATAAAAAAAAAATCATCAGCATATTATTTTATTTCTTTAGCTGATTTGCTTTTGTCTCCTAAAAGCCTCTGGGACACAAAGCCAGCACTAACTTTCCTCCCCATCACAATACTCAGTGATAACATTAGCTTGACCCGCTTGAGTGCTGCAATGAGCTATGGTAATAAATGACTGAAGGCAAATTGACTCTTCTGATTCTCCACAATGCCAAGTCTCAATGCATATGAGAAGACTTGTTTGTTTTTTATCATTTTGAGGGCTTGCCACTTACCAAGAAGCGTTTTCTCGGGAGAGGGAAGCTGCCATATGACCTGCATAAAGATGGTAAATGGTAATTTGTTTGTTTTGTTCATTACACTAAATAATGACTACAGTAGGACTGGAATAACAGTGGAGGCTACTTGACACTGTTATTCTGTCTTTGGTGAACTTGAAGTGCAGAAGGAAAGCTCTGATGAACTCTGATGATACTTGGGCTACGCTGCAGAAGTGCAAAATGACAGTCCTCAGAAGGCAGGCAGGAAAATGGAAAAGGATTCAGTCTAACCCTTCTGTTTTTCCCATGGAATTTTCCTAATGGTGGCCCAACTACTTTCAGAAGATATTACAGTACAACTTTGGTTTCTGCTTTGTCATGTCATCTCCATAGCAGAACAGACTGCAGCCCCTGGCAGACTTTGCTCATACTGAAATGCAGTTTTCTGCCCTCTTTGCTTCCTTAGGTCCTTGAGTTCCTACTCTAGATGACTGGATCTACTTCTACTCCTGAAGTGGCTGAAAGCCCACTTCAGATTTCTGTTTCTCCTGAGTGGAAACCTCACTCACCTTCCTTCATCAGGCTATGACAAATGATCTTCCTCTCTTGAGTATGAGAAATACAAAAGCAGAAGTTTGCTTCCATACCCTTGTGAACCATCTAATTCCAAGCCCCCTGCCATGGGCAGGGACACCTTCCACTAGACCAGGTTGCTCAGGGACCCATCCAACCCACCCAGGGATGGGGCACCTACAACTTCTTTGGGCAACCTGTGCCAGTGTTTCACCACCCTCACAGGAAAGAATTGTTTCTCAATATCTAATCTAAAAGTGCCATTACTCCTTGTCCTGTCACTCCATGTTCTTGTCAACAGTCCCTCTCCAGCTCTCTTCTACAAGAGAGTGCCCTTTTACCCACTAGAAGTGCTCTAAGGTCTTCCTGGGGCCTTCCCTTCTGCAAGCTGAACAACCCCAGCTCTTTCAGCCTGTTCTCATAACAGAGGTGCTTCAGTCTCATTTTCACAGCCTCCTCTGGACCTGGCCTGACAGGTCCATCTCTGTCTTACACTGGGGACCCCGGAACTCAATGCAGTACTACAGGTAGGGAGATTGGGCATAAACCAGAGCTAGTATTGTCATCAAATCTGATTAGGTTTGGATGTAAATAGTTGCAAATATGCTGCTTTGAGGAAATGAAGACACAGTCAGATAGATCCATCTGTTCCTCCTGAAATCTAGAGAGATATTTGTCCGATACAAGATGAAGAGAAAAATGGTACATAAGACAAGTGTCTTTTGGCTCATTTTAAAGATGCTTCCTCATTCAGTCATAAAACATTCTGACCCTTTGCTTCAGGGATGGTCAGAGGTGGATTTGTCTTCCAGGGCTAAGGAAAGGATGGTCTCCCTCCACTGTTTACTCGTAACTGGAGTGATCATGCTGGCATTTTGTTAGGCAAAATAGAGGGAAGACCATCACATTGATTAAACTCATTACCAATCCATTGTTAGTAAGCTTCATTGTTAATGATGACTTTTTTTCCCACATCAAAAGACACTTCGTGCCAACAGAGCATTATAATGAGGAGAGTTATGTTTCCCAGATCAAGGTTTTTGCATACTAAGCTGGTAGAAGGGGAAGATACCTTCATGGGTTGGGAACTATATCAAGCAGGATGAGACTGCTCTATAAATTACATGCTGGACATGAGTTACACTAATCTCCATCACTAGAGACTCATTAATTAGACATTTAAGAGCAGACACATAAATAAAACATCTCCAGATTGTAGGCAGATTACATACATGCATTCAGTTCTGTTATGGATACACTTTCTTCACGATTCATGCTACATAACCACTGGTAAGATTTTAAAATTTAATACCCCAGGCTTGTAAGTCCAGAAAGTACTCCTCAAATAATCTACTGCCCATACTGATCTGAGTTAAGGCCAGCCTATAAATGGTGCACCAGGCAATTGACTTGGATTGTCACTGTTTGTGGGTTTTTTTTTGTCTTTTCTTGCCATTCTTCCATTCTTCCAAGATGATATGAAACAATAACCACATTCTAAAAAAAAACAAAAAAAAACCCAAAAAAACAAACCAAACCAAAACAAAAGCACCCAAAAAAACCCCAAGAACATTCTTAACTTGATACTTAGTCCAGGAAAAAGAGTAATTCTTCCAGTGGATTAAAAGAACACTATTAAGCAGTTTAACAATACAGTTTTGCGAATGCAATAATATTAACACTTTAAATCATTGCAGGACCCTTACTTTCAAAAAATCCTGAAGATCTTTGCAAATTAAAATTTGTGGGGAAGTGTCATACAGCAATTGGAATTACTTGAGCAGCTCTGTGTGTACACTTAGCAGGAGTACAGTGAATACTATGAAAAAGGCCTGGTTAATGTTTTCTGTGAGTCAAAACAACCCACTGTCACAAAATTAATTCAATGCTTTAATATATATGTGATAGATTAAATATCCAGTTTGTCTAAGGAAGCAATTTTCAGTTCTTCAGCAGATCAAAAATCATTGCTCTTTATAAATTTTTGGAGATTTTCCAAATCTTTACAGCTTGGTCCATTTTATTTAAAAAATCAGTTTTGGTTGTGGTCCTTAATTATATAACTGATAAATATAAAAGCAGCTACCAAATATGGTGCTATGGTCACCAGGTCTAAAAGTCAGTTATTCTTTATAAACAAAATTATTTCAAGCTCTTCTTGCAAAGAAAGTCTTAGATTATAAATTTTCTCCAGGTTATTTGTAATGTGATTTTTCAAAAAAAAAAGTTCAAAAACTCTAAAAGAATTGAGGCATTTTAATTGTCCACAAGTACATGTGTTATATTTTTTTCCCCCTTGAGCTGTTGTTTGTATGTCTGCTGTAGCTCTGCTTGACACAATATTTCTGCCCTCTAGTTTTTGGAATCTTAGGTGAATCCCAGTCTTATTTCACAGTTGCACGGCTTCATTCCTACTTGCTTCAGGCTAAGGGGAGCATGCCTGAGCAGAGCCTGAGCTCTCCCTCAACACTTCTTGGTATGTACATGTGGAACATGAGATGTGGATTTTACCAAATAACACAACTTTAGCTGTAGGAATGAGCCAGGCGTGGAGGAAATTGTGACTCAGAGAGAAACTTCTGTAGTATTTCTTGGCTTCTTCAGGGCTGCTGTAACTGACTCATGGTGTGCAGCCATGCTGAAGGCTGTGCACTAAACTGGGTGATGCTTTCACACTTGGTGAATGTCAGTACAATTCCACTGAGACAGAGTCAGTGGGGACGATGACTTGCACCTGGCTTTTCATCCCATACTCATCACTGGTCAGGCTGCACCTTTAATCCTGTGTTTTGGGACCCTCACTACAAGAAAGACATGGAGGTATTGGAGTGAGTCCAGAGAAAGGAAACAGCTGATGAAAATTCTGGAGCACAGGGCTGATGAGAAGCAGCTGAAGGAGCTGGGGGCATTTAGCCTGGAGAAAAGGAGGCTCAGGGTGACCTTCTCACTCACTCACTGCCGTAGTATTAACTACAGCTACCTGAAAGGAGGTTTTAAATAGGTGAAGGTTGGTCTCCTTCCCCAGACAACAAATGATAGGACAAGAGGGATTGTCCTCTAGTTGCACCAGGAGAAGTTTAGATTGTTTATTAGGAAAATTATTTTGACCAAAAGTGTTGTAAAGCACTGGAACAGGCAACCCAAGGAAGTGGTGGAGTGACCATCCCTGGAGGTAATTTAAAGACATGTAAATGTGGCACTTGGGGACATGGTTTAATGGTGGACTTGGCAGTGCTGTGTTAAGAGATGATGATCATAAAAGCCTTTTCAAACATTTCCATGATTCTAAGATGGAGCATGCCCCAGACTATCTCTATTCCAGGTGAATACAAGTCTTGTCCCAGGTATCACATCAACCCTTTTACACTGCTGGGGCCAGGGGCTGAGCTCCAGCTGACTCACCAGTTCCTGACATTGTTTGGCTGTTGGTGTTACATGGTTTTGGTGTGGACCATTCCTGCTGGAACTCACCAAAACAAATCTGCTCTGGAGAATGTAGGAATAAGGATGTGAGCTTCTTGGTTTTGTCCTTTAGGCTATAGATACTTGTCTTTTAGGTGATAATTAAGACTCTATAAATATTATTTCTCTATGGTTTTGGTGTTAGGTTTTGGGTTTTTGTTTTGTTTTTTTTTTTAAACAGCATAAACACAGCTGTAGAGATCCCCAAACAAGCCGCCTACATCCAAGAGAAATTTCCCTGAGCATGCAATTCCCAGTTTCTTCCTTTTTTGTCTTCATATTAATATATTCATTTTTATTTACCTTTCTTATAATGTATATTCTATGGAAGCTGCACCATTGATCTGCTTTTTAAAATGCATTTGAGAAAGCCCTAGTTCTCTAGATGTTTTAATAACAACATTTATACTGCAAAGCGTAGTCCAAGCAGGTACCAGACCAGAGCAAGCACTTGTGTGTGTAAAACTAAAAACCAAACCAAAACCAAACCAAAGATCTTTATAAAAAATAGGTTTTGTCAGGCTTGTGAATAATGCAAACAGTGAGCTGGATTGTGTCAAAACATAAACCAAGCAATTCTTTTTAGTGATGCAAATCTTCTGTAGCCAGTCTGAAGTCTCAGTCACAAAGGTTTTTCTGCAATATTAAAGAGCAAACCTTTCTTTCAGTGCAGAGTGATAAAGAGGCACTAAGCCCTGCTCTGTTGTTAGTCACAAGTCATTTTAATGTGGGTCTGTAACACTGTGAAAGGTGACCTGCAAAAGGCAAGTGGCAGGCTATAATTCAGTGCCTTGGAAGGTAACACTAGGATCTACTAGCTGATAATTGACTTTCCTGTTATACACTTATCATCTGTAACACTTTTAGACCCTCAGTGGGTCTTTGCTAGCAGTGTCTGTGTTAATCCCTGCAATGGGGATGGAGCAGTAAACTGTTCAGAGCATGGGAATGACTCTCCCAGTCCTTCTGAAAGCAGCAACAATAAACATGTTGCTGACAACCTGGCTCCAATTGCCAGTCACAGGCCACTAATTAATATTTTTTTATATAATATAAACACTACCTGGCCTCAAAATTGACTGGGATCCTGTTGTAGATGCACAGGGTAAGATTACTGCTATCCTAAAGAATTTATAGTATGACCAGCAAAGGCCCAGAAGAGTATTTGGGAAACACCACAACATTTGTGCCCTGTTCTCAAACACCTCCTTAAGTGCTGACACGTGGCTACTGTCAGAGACAGACAGGAGATGAGGTGGGCTTTTGATGTGCTTGATGTGAGCTTAAGGGCAGCAAGAGAAAATCCATGTACTAAGGCCTCAAGTGATTTAGCCAGAGCCAGGTCAAGGGCCAAGCAGAGCAGAGAGCCCAGGGGTTGCAACCCTAGAACTGCTACAGTTCATCCTCCTCCCATCTCTGCAGACTCTCAGAAAGTCTCCTAAGACTTATGTGTGCTTTCTTTTAGAAGGAAATTCTTCCAGACTCTGGCAGGAGTAGTGACAAAGACAGTGCCTGGGTTGCTGGCACTGCTGCTCCTCCACATTTGACATTTCATAGAGAGGCAGGACCAGCTGCAGAAGCCAGCCTGGTTAGCAGGAATAACGAGGAGAACAGCGTGTACCTGCTCAGAGCAAGCAGGGATGTGTTCACAGATGTATTCCTGTTACATCCCACTTGTGGAGCTTGATATTCACCTCGGTGGGATGAGACAGCCTTTGAGGCAGCGCTGCTGATAGCAGCAGTCTGCTGGCTACTTCTTGATACATGCAGAGGTTTAAGCAGCGAAGGAAGGAGAAGCACCAGAGTAGATTGAGAAGACAAAATACAGCTGGGAATTTCTGTACTGCTCCATTGTAACTTGGAGAAAGGTACCACCAGTGGAGGAACATGAGTCAGTGGCATTAATCCGTTTAAGAAATGCAAGAACAGACGAAACCTTGGCTTTGTGCTCTGTTGCTGCCTTGATGAAAGATGTCCCACCTGTGATTCCTCATTTACACTGTAATCCTCACCTGCCTTAGTGTGTATATTTTGGATACAGACTTTAAAGTTGTGATGGTATCAATGGTATCAGGTTTTCAATAGAGTTTTCCTAGCCATACCTCATAGAAATTTGTCTCTGGTTTATTTTGTAAATCTGATACATGATCTTCTCCTAAGGCAACTAGATGGGTTTTCTTTTGGAGGGTAAGAAGGGAAAAAGCAAAGAAAAGGATTGGGAAGGTTTAGCAAAATCTACATTCAAAAATGCCAAATTGCAGTAGATATATGGACCCACTGTGTTTCTTCATTCTTCTTTGGTTGCTTTAACTGAATAATGAACTAAGACTGACTCTTAACTGGTAACTCTTTTGGAATGTTGAATATGTGATGAACCTCAGAGCATTAAGTTTTGTTATACTCATTTGCTACTATGAACCTGAATTTCACCAAAGCAAGCTCGTGACTCGAAAAAAATTGTCTTCAACGAGGCTCAGCTCTGGACTAGATAATGAAATTATAAATAACAGTCACATCTTCTGTAAAACAGTGAAAATATGTCTGTAAAATACACATGAATGTAAAAATTCACTTTTGGGTGACAGCTCAACTTGAACATCAGAATGTAGTTTAGAAGGACTGCATATGGATGCCTGTACACAAAGGAGAAAAAAAATTAAAAAGTATCTAGAAGTGGGCTGTGATCTTTTATTTAACTCCATCATATCTGTTTTCTTTGTGTTAGGCACCCCTAAATGCTTGTGAAGAACTGAAGCTGTTTGAAAACCTGATATCAAAATGAAAAACATTCTGCTACCTTGAATGCAATAATCAATATTGAGCCCTTTTACCATGAAGTAGCAGCTTTCAAGGTCAGTCTCACACTGGCAGTGTGGAGCCAGTGCAAGTCATTTACTTTCCTTTTTCCTCATGTGTCTGGAGTAAAATATGCAAGAGCTATACCTTTGTGATTTCTTTTTTTCCAATCAAATGAGATACCACAGTCCTGAAACTCAACCGCTTTCTCCCTTGATCCCTTCCCCCTTGAAAATGACTTGTTCCTCTTTATATGTTTCTCTTCTTGTCCCTTTTCTTTTAAACTCAGAAATTCCCCCACTCAAAGCACAGGATTTAGTAGCATTTCTCTTCCAGAACTCTTCAAGTTTTCTAAGTATTCAGGTTAAATCCATCAGTTGGAAGGATTATTTCTGACTTCTGAAGACTTCTGACTTCTGCAGTCCAAAATTAGGAGGATAAACTTTTACCTGCAGAATCCAAAGTAGAGCCAGGTTTGTATTATCTACTGTATATACCTACCTCAATCTTCTCAAGCATTGATGTGTTTTTGTATTGACAAATCACAAGCTAAGGGTCTCTGAAGATAGGTTCCTCAATAAATCATTAGGAAGAGGAGTCACTAAACCTAAGCTGGACTTTCTTATGAGAGCTAGAGTTCACTGGGAAAAAACAAGACAACTGATAGGCTTTCAGATATTTTTTTTCCTGTTCACTTGTAGTCCAAAAAAAATTCACAGGAAGCTTAAATGACATTACAGTATGCAACTTCTTAAACCCATATCTGTTTAACTGAAATGCAGTTCTTGGTAGGGCTGGTAATTGGGGATTTTTTTTTGGTTTTGATTTTTTTGTCTTTTTTTTGTGTTTGAGTTTTTGTAGGTTTGGGTTTTTTTCTTTTTTTTTTTTGTTTTTTTCTTTGGTTTGGTTTGTTTTTTGTTTTTTTTTTTAAGTTTCTTTTAATTAAATTTTCTCCTTAAGGGAAAAAAAAAATCATTCTTTAGAGAGGCAGTCATTTGCAGCAGGGAAATAGTTAAAATTTGTTTGTTTTCTTATGTCTTTCACCTTCTGTGATAGGTTGTGTGAGAAGGTCTGTTCTGTTTAGGGAAACCAAACTGTGACAATCGTTTTGTTCTGGGACACAGTGCTCCTGTCTGGTGCTTTTGAAGATCTGGTGGCCTAAATTCAAGCACATCTGAAGGACATTTCTGGTTGCATGGGTGAAAAAGCCATTTTATTTCTAACTGGGCGTTTTTAATAAACTTTGTATATTGAGTAGGGAGTTCTAATGTCAAGGGATTACCCACTGAACACTGGGTATTTAATTCTCTAAAGCATGTTGGCATAGATTTCTATTAATACGTATTCAGACATATAGAATGAAATGCATGGAAAGTTTTATATATAATGCTGCATGTACAAGCAGTTGTCAATATATAGAAATATGCTCAAATGGAAATATATATTTATGTGTATATATAAAGCATGATTTGATGTTATTCATCTATACCACCAAGACCTTTTGCCATGATCTGGTTAAAATACCTCAAACCACTTTCATCATTATCATTAAAAAACAGCATTCAGGGAGTTAAATGGTCAAAATCTCTTGCCAGTAAAAACATAAATCTTCATAAACCAGGCCTGTACATACAGCTACACCACAAAATCTGTCCTTGTGTAGAGTAGGTTTATGCCCTCAAAGGAAAAGCAAGCCCTATGAATGTCTCTAAATTTCTTTTAGGTACAAGTGTAATTACTTTCCCTTCTATATGAGGAGCCACATAGGAATAATGCAGTCACAGCTTTTCAGAGCTACTTGAGGTTGTATGTAACCCATTCCCTTTCACTTGGATCACCTTTAAGATTTCAGTTCTGGAATTCTATCTCGTGTTCCCAAAGCACCATGAACTTATGATAAGGTAAATCAACCTTGTCCCTTAGGATAAGTAATCTACCCCAGGAAAGGCATTTCAAGACCTTTGGAAGTGCAGCAAAAAACCTGGCAGGTTAAGATGTGCTGTGCCTTAGTGGGTACACTTCCTTTCCTTGTTGAAGATGGCTCTATCAAGAGGTGAAGATCACTAGGAAAATGCTGTAAGTCTTTGAACTGTTGTCCATGGTACTCAGTTATGTAGTGCCCTTGACTACAGTGCTCAGGTTCTCCTGCAACCTGCACAGAAGAGCAAGGAAAAGTAGACACACAAAATACTTTGCCCAAGGTCATTCTACTGGTTGAGGCTCAAAATTAGCGTTGAACTACTTGTGCTGTACCTTAGAGAACAACAACATTCAAATTTCACTGAAGAGAAGCTTCTGGCTAAGCAAGAGAATATAAGAACAGATCTCAAACTGGCCCATGTACAGCAGCTGAAGTCAAAGATGCAGCCAAGCTCTGAGCCTTCCCCACTCGTTAATGCTTAATTAACAGGTCATCAGTGAATGCTTTGTCAAAATTTTCATTAATCATGAAATTAATTTATACTTTGACTTCATTTCCATTTTGCTGAGAACGTACCCATTTTTGAGGCATTTAAACATATCCTGATTTCCTCTGAAGACACTGAGGAAAAAAGCTTATTAGCTACTTTTAAATTTGGATTAATAAACTTCTTAAAGTTCTCAACAAAGTTTAGCATTTCTTGATGGTTTTTTGCTTAAAGCAGGGATCATCACTCACAAAAAACCCAAAAAGGTATAACAAAGCCTAAAAAAGAATGGATTTATCTAGAATCCTCTATTTTATAAGCACAGATAGCACAAAAATCTACTGATTTTTTTACATCCCACATGATCTCTAACATCACACATAGCTCTCCTTTCTCTTGTGACAGGGATCACGAAGGACATATCCCTAAATGAACAAGGAACAAAGAGCTGTGGGTTCCTGTAAGGTCTCCTGCCATGCTCAGGCAAGTTCAATGTATCTGTGCCTACTTCTGAGGTCCCTTGTTAGGCTCTGCAATCCTACTCAGGCTCCCGAGACAACTCACCCTCTACCACAAAGCCCTTTCTGACTTGCTCCCATCCTTTATACAACAGAATTCATTTTCCCATTTGGTATTTTATTTTGATGTTCCAGGCATAAAAAAAGCAAATGGTTCCCTCAAGCCATTTTCTCTCTGTGAAACTGTGAAATAGCTTTGCAATTTTGGAGCAGTTTAAAATGCATTGTTATATTGAGAAAGAAGAGGGGAGGAGGGGGGAAGCTTCTTTTCTGACTCTCAGCACTGAATGCTATAGGAAAAATGGATTGAAATTCTTCAAATAAGGATTTCATAGCTTGTGCAGCTATCAAGGCGGATGGCTCCCTATTTGCATACTGCCATCTATATAAAAGAAATGAGACTCAACGGTTTTATTATAATTATATAGCTCGGGTTTTAGTATTAATAAACCTATTGTTATCACCACTGTCTTTCGAAAAAACCTCCACGTTTCTGTCATACAAACTGAAATATTGCAATTTATTTTTAAGGCACATACTAAAAAAGTAAATCCTTTCCAAAGATTCTTCTTGGTTTCTTGCTCAGCGCTGAACTAGGTTGCTGGAGATTATCACCAAGGGCTGTGTTTGATCATTGTGTTTTTCAATACTCCCTTGCTTCCTGAGTGCTTTATTTAAAATTCACAGCAGAGGGGAGATGCATACTTTAAAGATGGTATCAGTGCCATTTTCCATGGGACTTCAGGCAGTTCCTAGGTGCCTGTGTAGATGTTCTATTAAAATGGAGCATCCTTCATTGAGCCAAAAAAAGAGGTGACTGATAATTAAGGTGAAAATGCTGCTCTCCTGTCTACGCTGCAGAACTCTTATTGAACGTGTGAACTCTTATCAGGTGCCTTCTTATCTCTCCTCCTGTGCATCCTCTGCTGGAATCCCACACCAAACTCCCAGGACATCAGTGGTAGCTCTGCTCTTGGACATGTGAAAACACAATAGCTGCTGGAGTCTCCAGGGTGTGGCTCCTCAAGCACACTGGCCAGGGACATGGTACACAGAAAGCAAATGTAAAAGGAGAAAAATCAGTAGCTTTTGAGGCTGATACAATGTGTGACAGCATACTACTATATATATGTGTATATATATTGTTCATATATAACAAAGCTGTTGATTTGGTGTCACAGCCAGACGGAGACGTTAAGCCTCAGAGCTGAAATGCTTCAGCTTCAAGTATTCACAGGGACACATTCTGGTGAGGAAAAATAAGATTTTTCTTCCAGAGTAGAAAAATTTAAAGCAGACAATGTCTCAGAGATTTTTTTGTTTTTATTTTTTTTGCATAGGAAAACAGAATCCTAACTTTTTCAAGTAGATAATACAAGGGAACTTTGTGGAGAAGATCACAGTCATAAAAGCAAGGGTTTATCTAAGCTAAATCTCTGCATGCCAGTCACTGCAACTTCAGAAATATCAGCAGGTCCTATTTGCCATCTCATGGCTGATCTCAATCCATTTCTTATGGGCACAGTGACAGAAGTGGGTTTTCAGGGAGAGGTTGGAGAAGGACAGATATTTGAGGTATTTGTGGAAGAAGGGCAGAGGCTTTGAACACCACAAGAGGTTTGAACATAAGATGATGTGAAAGAGAGCTGTCAAAAGACATGAAATGTGGATGAAGGAGAATGGGAAAGAGATTTTACGGCCAAACAACACTAAAGAAAAATTTCTAGAGCAGGCAGAGAACACAGGGAAATTATATGTCAGGGAAGGGGTTACTGCAATCAAGAAGAGAGATAGTCATGGCAACTTTCTTAAAATTATCAAGCTCACAAGAAGCTAATTCTGAGCATATGGCTGAATGAAACTTTGATAATACCCTTTTGTTGGGATTTTGCCCGAAGATCCTACTTGCATGCCTCTGGATTGTCAGAATTCCCCTTAAACACTGAAATTAGCACAATTGTAGGAAATGCAAGCCCTAAGCCTTTTAATTTTCTAGGAACCCATATCTTTAGACCACAGGTATATTTTTGAAGAAATATAGTGTAGAAGTTATTGGGCACATGACCCTTTTGTACTGTTTTTCATGGCAACCACATGACTGCAATGCTGTCTGATGCTTTGCTTGAACAAATTACCACTGAGATTTACTCCTCTCCACAAAAACAGTTCTAGCTCATTCTTCACCTACCATGAAAAAGACCTCAAGTCTAGATTTAGCACGTCCCTGCTTACTTGTCAGCTTGCATTATCCTGACAGAATACAAAAAACTTGAATGTATACCCTCTAGTAAAGAATTCACAGACTCCCAATGTGGGAAGGATTAAGCATCATAATAGCCAAACCAAACAATTTCTTAGGGGGTTCATATAAAGTCTGTCAAACATGTTCCATAGCTCTGAGAAGAAAAACAAATGCAAATGTAAATCACCTCTAGGAAAGGCAAATTCTTCTAGGTGTCCAAATGCACTAAATCAATCTCTGTATTTTCATTTGGGCAGAGTCCACAAGCTTTCACCAGCTAAAGAATCACAAGATGAAAGAGCGGACAGTTTGGCATGTTTGTATCAAAAGTTCCCAAGGCAGTTTACTAAACTGAAGGTACTTTAATAGAATTCAACTTAGCTGAAAGAACTTGAGCAAGGAAGGAAAAAAAAATAGCATTAAGGTTTGGACAACTGCTGAAGAAACTTCATCTTCCTCATCTTCTATAATCACATTTTGAGAATTTTATTTTTGACTTAACATGTAAATGATTGGAGCCAAACTGGCATCCAGTATAATATACAATTATTAGCTATGTCCACTGGAAGACTTAGCCAAAATGAACACAAGGTATAGACACTTAACTACAAGTTAGTTTGGAAGAATATGGAGTCATTGACTCTCTCAGGAAACAGCAGGTATGGCCGCCTGAATTACTGAAGAAACTGCACTCAACAGGCTAAAGGAGACCTTATTCTTTGTCATCTGCTCAGACTCTCTTAAAGCAACAAATTTCCTTCAGTATCAAAAAAAAAAGGTAATCACTGGAACAGTCCTTGATAAAGTGTCCCTGTTTCAGTTTCAAATTCATTGGTCTGTTCCTTCATTATGGGGTTAACTTGCATCACAAAGAAATACCCATGGTACTAAGTAAAATACATCTGCTAATAGAGGAACTATCAATGGAAGATACAGCAAAAACTACTGTCTGAAAGCAGAAGCTAATTAAATTCAGAATAAAATTGTTTAAACTCATAGAACAGCAAGAATAACAATAAACTTGCCAAAAGTTCCAGTAGAGTGACCAATATACCGTATTTTGGCATTGATTGAGAGATTCCCAGCCACACAAATACTTAAGATGTCGCAACTCAGAAAGGGCACTGCTCAGGGAAATGTTGCAGTCCTTGTGATGAAACAGATGCCAGTG